CGCTGCTGGTTGATTGTGCATTAATGTATTTAACAATAAGCTCAATGAGGAAATCAGATTTGCATCTAATCATATTCTGCACGCTTTAATTGAGATGTCAATCAGATCTGTCCTGTCACTCATGAAACCTATTCCTGTACAGTTTTCATCGTACACCAAAAATCTAGATTTGCATTCCGGAAGTTCTGGGGTTTAATCTTTGCCGGGACATCAGCCATCTTCTGAAATGCTTGTTTCAGGTACAGGCAAACCTTAAAATTGGCCACGACCACTTCCAAGCACGTTTGTATCGTTATGTATAATATTCATATTTCATTCAATGGCATTACTTGTCGGTTAAACGCGGTAGCAGAAAGAGATTCTTAAAATGTCCCAAGGATAAAATTCATTTCTGTTGACACTGGTTTATGGGAAATTTCAAATGTTTTTTGTTTATACCTTTCTGTCACCAAATGCGCTCAGAAAAGAAATACGGCCGTGACGTCAAGAGCGTAGCGTTACGCACAGGAAAGGAGATGCTTCATTTTTATACCAGTGAGATGTAAATTCGAAAAAGAGCCCTTTTCTTGCAGAACTGTTTCATGTCTGATTTCATATTTGTCACAACCACACAGTATAAGTATATGCAGACTGAAATCAATTTCTGCGGCTAGAAAAGGATTTGTTTATTTCCCCTGAACCAAACATTGTACACACTGTCTCACTAGCATATCAGTTGCAATTAATGTAGCCTGGGGAAATGCAATTTCAGTTGGTATACAAACGTAACAGCATTTTGTATGCATTCTGGAATTCGTGCCTAGTACACAGCCGTTGATGATATTGGCAGTTTGCGCTGGAGAGGTTTGTTGTGATATGAATGCACGCTGTGTAAATTAGTAGCCGTACCAGCGACTGATTTTTATTGACCCTCTGAAGCAGATGTACTACTTCACAAATTGTATTCCACGACTCATCAGTAGCTACAGCATGTTATTCGATACTATCAAAGAGAGCTGAAATTCTGTTCTAATTTACCAGTCCATCCGATCTAGGAATGCCTCCGTGAAGTAGTCTTTAAGAAGGTGATACTCTCAAATTTGGTCAAGAAATCTTCTTTTTGCTATGGAACCCGATGGTTCATAGTCGTAGATGGTTGTCTTCTGGGTTGTACAGTCCAGAAGACAGTCATCTTCGAATTCACCGCCATTAAAATCTCAAATCCTTCTTGTTCATTATCGTGTTAACATCACGTCGCCACTGGACTCTCTACCGATCTATGTGAAATGGTTCACGCTTTTACAATATATTTGCTGAAGGCCCTAGCATTATCCTCCACTGTATGTTTACGTTTACAAAGCCCTTTCTCTCCTTGTTTTTCCGTGTTACATGTCCTCTGCATCTTAACCTCTCCGATTTATTCGCACCAGCAATATTTGGTGAGGAGTACAAACTGTTACTTCCTCTCTCATGTGTTCGAATATTCTTGAACACGGGCCTAATCTATACTCCTTTCCTTTGGCTGCATACCAGTCTTGTGTATAAACTACTACTAGATCAAAGTTTTTGTGGAGAACTCCGTTCGATGTACCTGTTCTAAAATACTTCTAGGAGCTTTAAATTTGCACTCTTTAGCCATCATTGAATGATCTTATTAAGGAGGATAAAATGAACCGGTTACAGAGAACTTACGGCAGATACAAGAAACGCACAAAAATTGTATTCAGAAGTTCTGAAGGCACGAGGCCACTTGGGAGACCCAGACAGATTTCAGTAGACAAGTGGATCTTAAATAAATAGGGTGTGAATAACCTTGACCAAGCATCATATTGTATTATCGGTCCTGGGAACCATTGCATCTGACCCGGCACGTTACTGATTTGTAAGTAAAGGTGGACTTTTTAGTCAGCTGTTTAGCCAAGTGGTCATTTTGAAACGTGGCTTGTAAATTAACATAGAATCCTTGTGGTAGGTAAGCAACCAATAATAGCTCCCTCGTGGATATGAATTTGCATGATGGAACACGATTTGTGACGCGAGTAAACTATAGTGTGATGTAGCGTTACATGTTGATTGTGTATTGACTCATATTGTAGTGGTTTGTATGTACTAATACAACTCCCCCCCCCCACCCCCCTAATTTCTGCAACCAACAACGGGAGTTTTGGGACTGAAACCAACCCTCAGTTGCTTGCTGGTTTCCTGTGTGGCGTTCTGTGAGTGATGTGTTGTTCCCAGTTGTTATTCCTGCACCATGGTCAAACACTCTATGCAATATGCAAGCAATTATGATTGTTGTGCCTTTGGCATAACACGGAAAAGTAATTTCGTATAATGATCGAGTAAGCAAAGAACATTTCTTGGGTTATGATCGGCGGGAAAACCAACTTTTATCTTAACTTCATGGATCAGAGTCCTCCATAAGAAACCAGTAGTTGTCCGGTTAGGTAATAGATTTGCCGCGTTTTACGGAACTTGAAAGATTTATTACTCTGTGCACGAGAGCCCATCACTGGGCCCAGTCATGAGCCAGATGACTTTAAGATCACACTGTCACACCCTGTTTCTGTAAGATCCACTTTAATATTATTCTGCAATTTGAGTCGAGGCCTTCAGAATAGTGTATTTCCTTATGAACAGTTATGGAATGTAATGAACCTTTTTTATTTCTATGAAAAGGTTTCAAACGTCCACTTTATTTAAGCAATGCACTTAAATTAAGTACGCCTTTATTGCTTTATTGTTGTCGATGCGGTTCACACAACGGATAAATTTTAATAACGCCAACGCAATCTATAAATGTGGTCTCACATTCCCTTGAGGAGACAGAAACCATTGGTTTCCTCGAGTCGAGCCTTTTGTTACGGTTATCATTATGCAGGTTTCGTCTCTGTGGAATTCTAATTAAAATTATGGCTTAATGGAAGCTTCTTGGCGTTTCGTATCGACCTGATACCGTGAGTGGAGTGGGTTCTCTTACCTGGGGGTTGACATCTGTCTGCAGTTTGAAAACGTGTGCGGATGGAAATTTTACTGCCGGCAGAGTGATATCGACCCTGCGTAGGTGGATACGGTTAGGCTGCAGGATTAACGATGGAAGGATATCCTTTGTTGCCTTCTTTGGCTGCTTAGCTCTGGCGCGTTGAACGACAGTCACGTTTAAACCGGCTACACGCATGGCTAATAAAAGTGAGTGATGATTGGTCGAATGTTGTAGTGCCCACGTTTCACGCTAAGAGTGTTTCCTACGCTGGCAGTGGCAAACATAAGAAAAATATTGTAATACATTTGTTAATTGTCTGAATTTTCTCTCCACTACTTGAAAATTCCAGAGTATGCTTATCCCATCGCATCTCGTTTTTCGTCAGTTGTTTGTAGATTACAATTAGTCAGCAGAAGTAATATTATCAAATGAAATGTGATTTGTGAAGGAACATGGATTTGAAAGGAGCTGTAATTGCGTGCATGGAGGTACTTTCTCGTCATTTGTCTTGAACAGCTGATGGAAAATGTCGAAAGTTGTTTATCAGAATTACTCCAGTTGTGACCCGGATATCTCCCGAATAATTCAGTTGTATTACTGCTGCACCAACCTGCTGAGTGAACCACAATTTCAGATAATTTATTACTGTAGCGATCAGAGATAAAAGGCTGCAGAGTAATTTATTCTCATGTTGTCGGGTCTTGCTTTAGAGCGTGTTTAATTACGAAGTAAACTTGAGTGATGTCTTCGTCAGTTGTTTTCCTTAAACACAGTAAAGTGTGTGTGTGTGGATCAAGAATGTGGCCTGTACGTGGCGACTGTGAGGTTACGACTCCCACTTATTCATAAATTTCGGAGTTTGATTATGATTCGGTGACTGACTGTCGCGACAGACTTTTTGTAATTCCTTGCGTTCTCCAGGACGATTCTGAAATATTGCATTGAAGCATTCGAACATGACAGCCGTGTGGCGTATTCCACCGTGTAGTACCATAGAAATGAGCCGACATTTCTGTGTTGTTTACAGACTCCGCGCTGACGGTGAAGCACTTTGTAAGTATCGATTAACTTATACGAGACTGCACGGTGCAATATCCCAGAAAACTATCTTCATACTCGCCATTTTGAGAACCTGAAATCGCACAAAAGTATAGATATAAGTACGTAGCATAACAGTGTAAATTGAAAAATGTAATGAAGACTGTACAAGAACGTGTGTTGCCTACGTTCCTTCATATGCTTCAACCTGTATGGCAATGACAACAACAAAATAGTTGTATTATTTTCTCAATTTCTTTGCCTGATTTTCATTTATATAAATTAATAATTGTACTTGCGGAGAGACGAACTACTTTAAAGTTGTATCATTGTTATTTTTATTATTTATTTAGTATAATAATTTATTTTGTATGTTGTTTGTCCAAAATTGAACTGATTTTAATTTAATTTTTAATTTACTTATCCATAACATTTAGCTCATTTACTTATTAATTATTTTGCAATAAATTAATATTGTACTTTATATATTCAGTTTATTGTTTGTTTGTTTTAGTATTGTAAGATTTGTATTGTTGTTAGTGCTTGGCTGTTATCGGCCGTTTCGGCTGTTGTCAAGCACTTTAATAAATGAATTGAATTGAATTACCTGCATTTTGGTGCCATCATTTCGTCTACTCCAAATATAATCGTTACATCACAGTAGATCGGTCGCCAGAAACTCGTTCGCCCGAACAGGCCGCGACATCTCATGGTTAAATTCATATTAAGCACCAGGTTCAGGTAAAGAAATAATGAGAAATGATTTACAGTAAACCGGCTCAGATAAATCGATACATATATTGGAGATGTTGAAGGTGCGAATGGTATCAATAATTCCACTGCGGTTGTATTCCATCGTGTCTCTTCAAATTGCTTTGTATTTGTTTTCTGAAATGAAATTTCAGTTTCAGATTCTCTTTGCCCAAACGAAACGTGGGACACGAAACTGGATATACAGAATTTAATGGAAAATTGAATATTGTTTGTTTCGTTTTCGCAGGTTTGAGTGGCTGCGATTCCCAGAGAACGTAAGTATTGCTTCATTTTATGTTAATCCGTTTTCAGGTTTTCACTTTGTACTAAATATTTATTTGAAAGTTATTGTATTTGTAGCTGTCATGTCAACGTAAGCCTAGGCCGATTTTTTATGACTCCAAATGGATTGTTTGAAGTGTAGATGAGATGAACATAGAGTGCCATTGCCACAAGGACAGAAGATACAGATATTAGGACGATTAATATCAACCGTAGCGTGGATGGGGTTAGTTATTACAATAGAAGAAACACTGTTAAATATTATTTGCAGTGTAGACATGATGTGTGCACCAATTTGAACATGTGTAGAAGTTCGACTTTTTAAATTCAATTGGGAAATATTGGTCTTAAGAGGGTGGACATATACACATATTTGGTAAATACAAAGATAGTTGTTACATTTTGCATTGAATGACATTTAATAATAATCTGGTGATAGTGTAGGTTACTTTGTGTTTTCTAGGGGTATAAGGAGATTACTGATTTTTTATGGATTTTCAAGCGATAGCCATTAAATTGGTTACTGTTAGCTTGAATACATATCCTATATCTGCGTGCTGTGAGTTGAACGCGATTTGGAGAAGCATTAGTTTCATGCTGGAGGTAAAGCGCTAGACAATAAACCAAAATGTTCCTCTCGACGATGTGAGTGACAGCTCCCCAGATGCAATTTGCTATAATACACCTTGTAGTAATTGCCTCCGTTCGCAGAGGAATGCTGTGTCATAAGAAGACTCCCCTCTCACATTTAAAGCAGAAATTGACGTGGGCCTGTACTGTTTTTAATCTTGCAGTCAGAGCCGAATTCATAGTCTCGCCAATGTGTGTTCATCTGAAATTAAGAGAACGTACTTCATCTTTCTTCGTTACATTTTATTTTGTCTTTCCGTTGGCTTCGTTTTTATCCTGCGTGTTTTATGGCAAGAATCTAAATATCTTTGCTACTCCATATACTACTTGCCGATTTATTTGTTCTTATTTTCTTCTTATTCTTCTTCGTGCTTTCAGAGTTCGTACAATGTATATAAATGGAACCGTCAGTTGGATCTGTCGGGTGAAAAACTTCGCCTTTCTACCTGCTTCCCGTTAGTATACAGACATGATCAACTATACGTCGTCTTTGAATAAAAGGAACGTTCTATTTGTTCATAGTCCTTTGACCTTTTATTGTCGTCTGTTCGTTGCAGTTGTTCCATTTTTGATGGTTGTAATAAAACTAGGATAGTCCAGAAATGATGTTCCTGTTGACATTTTGATTTTGATGCTCTATCATTTTACTTACATGTCTTTCATTCATCACAAAATTAACACATTTCGCTTCATGTAAGAGCGATAGGGAGAAACCGTTCCTTGTTGTTTGAAATTTGACACAGCAGAAATAACTTTGGTTGAGATTCTTGAAATTTGTGACCCTCGATTTTTTCATCTTCCTAGTGATTTATTTATGCTAATTTGGTGGTAGAATTAATAATTATTATAATTTGGGTAGAGTGGGAAGGGTTTCTTTTCTTCTTCCAAGTTAATGAGGATCGTTATAAATTAGGAATTGATTATAAAAGAGGGTAGCTTGCCATCGCCTATGTTAAAGTATTAATTTTAGGTCCGATGTAAGCTTTGTGTGCAAATACTATGAACCAGTCTTATAAGAAATTGATTATCCGTCCTAAAATGTGCAGTGATTTTCTGAATAAATTTAAAAATCTCTTCCACGAACTGCAGTTTTTTTAGTAATTCTTGAGAGAAAAAAGGCTTGGCTAATAGGAGAGAATGAAATGGATCGGAAAGACGGCAAAATGGCTGACACGTCCCGTCTAGCTTGTAAGCACGCGTGTAGCTGCTTTGGTTAATGTTTACACTTTTAATTAGCTCGGGACGTAGTTATGAATAACTTGCGTAACAGTGGCAAAAATGAGTGCACTAACTTATCTTCATTGAACACTTTTGCGTAATCTTCTTAAAATGAAAACATAGTTTTCGGAGCGAAGAACTCTCCTTTGCATGAAATAAAAGTCTTTCAACTTCTGACGTAGCGAAAAATAACATGTGCGTTCCATCTATGAATTAAACTGTTTCAATTATCAATACGTTTGTAGCTATATTTCGTGCAGAAGTAGAGAGGAACTAGCAATTTTCCTAACGTAAAGAAGACTTTTCTTCACTCACGTGTTTGTTGAATTTGTTGTTTGTGTATTGTGTGCAAGCCTACATGCTGAGCGAAGTTACAGAACTGAAACAAGCATTAGCGCTATAATCTCTCCTGAAAGTGGTCTAATAATAGCGTGTGAGAATTCGAGCTTCAGATTCGTTTTTGTTACGTTGATTGCCGAAGAACGTTTAAAGGCAAAGGTAAATTCAAGCTCACCCCACCCCCACCCCGCTCCCACTCGGCCAAAGATTATCCTGCGAGTAGGATGCTGCGTTTGCATGAGAGATGGTAAAACGAGCAAAGTTGTCTCTATGCTTAATTAAACAGTACGCCATGAATACGTGTGGGGATGATGGTATAATTCTGTTCGTTTTGAACCTCGGCGTTGGATAGAGTGGTCAGCTTCTGGAACCCTCTGAATAGAAAGTGGCGTGGGCTTCAAAGCCAGTTTGTACATGGCTTTGGTCTGTCTCTGCCAGAAATCTTATCCCGGTCGTCTGTTCCGTAGCCATTCGCCGCAGTTACTGGCTAGGACTACAATTATCGAGTCCCATAGGACTGACATCCTGGTTCATGACAAATAACAGATTGTTAGTTAATATTAATATTCTCTGTGCACATTAATGTTTAATGGAATTGCGATGTCATATTTTGAATATGTAAGTATATATTAACAACAGAATAAATCTGTCTTTATTGAGTTTAAAACTTGTATTACGTGGGCGACAAGAGTGTTTCAAAGTTCAGTATTTAGAACAGCCTAATCCAAGTAATTTTATCAGATGCCTAAACTGAGATTGTTTTTACTTTCTTAATATTTTCCAATTTTTGGTTTGTCCCTTTCCAGAGGATTTCACAAAAATTTGTATATTTTTGTATTTACTGTTTCGTGTTGCGTGCCTTGCCCGTCCTGTATGTTCAGTCGGTAAAATGCTAGTTGGAGGGCCAATTTGTAAGATCTTCATATCGTACCATTTATTTATTCCAATTTATTTCGCCTTTGATTGTGATTAAAAATTATCTCTCTTCCCAATTTTCCTGCCACATCATTAGACGAAGTTACTGTTGGTAACTAGTTGTAATTTGGTTAATAACTCGAATAAAATACAGTGCTTTTAACTTTACAGTTGACTTAGGGTGCTGGAAAAGAGAGCATGGTTTTTTTTCTCTTCTTTTCATAAAGGAAACCAGAAATTTAATTTATGGACGAAGTATTAAAACATCGGTCGTTCGAACCCGTGGGTTCTCAGTTAACCATGGTCCATTACGGAAATAAATAATCTGTCATATTCATTGCTGTATCGAAACGCTCTTTTCCGAGAGGTGTGAATCCATTTCGTGTTGTGCGACTGCCTGAAATGTCTGTCATCACAGTGTGATAATTAGAGGGGCTTGCCTTGTCTGGAAGGACGGCTGTTTCATATGCTAAGTTTCACAGTTTTGTTGGTGTTCGTTGTATTTGTTAGTACGTTTTCTACCAATTTGTGTCACTCAGACTAGACGGAACGAAGACCGAATATTTCACATGCGGGATAGCATTTCCACCCGGTTTGTCTGTCTTTGTTTTTGTTGTCAAAGTCCCCCCGGGATAGGAACCCTGACTTTGATTTTTTTTTCTCTAACAAGATCCAAAAAGACGTTCTTCCTAGGCAGATAACGGAATGGTGTGAGTGAAGACACACACGACAAGACGTCACATCGATCAATAATACACTCTTCAGATCTGTGTATATGTTGCTGGCTTTCAGGTCAGATGCCAGGGAACACATCTTTGAGCGTATTTCACACGTGGATACGTAGACAACACTTTCGAAACGTAATTATATTACGTGAGAGTGTACTATAAGCATGTATATATCCTCCGATGTATATATCGCCGTCATGATGAAGGCACTATTCATTGAATTGATTTTTGACATGCTCTGTCCCAACGACTAAAAGGCTTATTATATATTAGTGAGCGAAAATAGTTTTAATAGTTCTGTTTAATATTTCCATGCTTTATGCGTAAACTGTTATAAATATACTACCAACATACCGATGGAAATCGATCGTGTCTCTGTTGCTAAGTCATATATGCGTTGTATTCAATACATGGTTATATTTTGTGCAAGGGGATTTAAGTGTAAGACTATGCGATTTCGACAAGACGTCACATCGATCAATAATACACTCTTCAGATCTGTGTATATGTTGCTGGCTTTCAGGTCAGATGCCAGGGAACACATCTTTGAGCGTATTTCACACGTGGATACGTAGACAACACTTTCGAAACGTAATTATATTACCTCCGATGTATATATCGCCGTCATGATGAAGGCACTATTCATTGAATTGATTTTTGACATGCTCTGTCCCAACGACTAAAAGGCTTATTATATATTAGTGAGCGAAAATAGTTTTAATAATTCTGTTTAATATTTCCATGCTTTATGCGTAAACTGTTATAAATGTACTACCAACATACCGATGGAAATCGATCGTGTCTCTGTTGCTAAGTCATATATGCGTTGTATTCAATACATGGTTATGTTTTGTGCAAGGGAATTTAAGTGTAAGACTATGCGATTGAATAAAATAATTGTGCTCATGGTCCAGTCCGCCAGAGAGACTAGTAAGAATTTTATATGTCCTTCTACAAAATATGGATCTGTGCGTGTTTTTTAACTTAATTTCCTGAGGGAACGAACGGACTGTGATGCATGTATGTGCTCCATCATTTGAGCAGCGAGCAGTCGCGGTCCAAATGCGCCGAAGTTATTTTATCTTTTGCGTCATCACACGTCCTGACGCTGACAGATATTAAAACAATAACATGTACACAAAGTTATACGTAATTTAACTAAC